GCGGCTCTGCTCTCTGGGTGTGTTGTGGATGTGAGAGCTGCAGCGGGGAAAGGAGGAGTGTGGTTGTGCACTGTGTGACTCTTACAAGCCTGTGAGTGTGTAGATGCATTCGTAAATCCCTACAGATGGTACTGCACCAAGGGTACCGCCGTCTCACCTTGCTAACAGCTTTGTGGCATTTAACCCAGAAAATGAGATGCAGGAGAGAGAGCAACGATGTGTTTCTGAACTGTTCCGGCCTCCATGAGGCTGGGTTTGTCTACAGGTGCAGTCGGCAGGGAAGGGAGTTAGCAAACCGTCTCAGTGCTCAACTTCAGCGTGGAGGCCGTAGCGTGCAAATGCCTGGTGCCCCTCGGAGTAACGCAGGCACCTCTCTGCCCATGGGAAATCGCTGCTCAAATAAACACAAACATTCAGGTGCATCAGAAACAAAAAGTAACTTGAAACGGCGAGCAGTGATTACAGCTTCTTCAGTGGGTGCTGTGCTGGGAGGGCTGCCCGTGCGCTGCTCACTGTGTGGGTGTGGAGGGAGTAGAGTTATGTTGGGCCTGCGCTGAAATGCAGCTTTGTTTACTCCTACTCGGTAGTCACGTAGCAGGTGGTAAGAGGACAAGGTGAGTCCAGGGAGCAGCTGCAGAGGTTTCAGCTTCCACTGCTGCAGCAGGAGAGGGACAGGAGGTGACAAGGAGCTGGGCAACAACAATTTTATGCTGAAAACAAAGTGAATTTCTCTCACCGAGCACAAAGAAAGCAGAAAGAGGATTGTAATTCCCAATTGCTGCACCAGCTACAGCTACAAAGTAGGAGAGTGGGTTATGATTATTGTTTTGGTAAATGGAGTAATTTCAACCAATTTTCCTTCATATTTTCTTGTTCCGTAGGTGTTTCTCAATCTGACAAAAGAGCTAGGGAAGGACCAGCAAGAAGATGCTGAACTGCCCCAACAGCTGCCTGGAGCCAGTGGTCAAATTGGCAGTGACGAAATGTCCGTGAGCACGGATACCTTCACAGAAAGAGACGGTACGAAATTGCCTCCAGGTTTTATTCCAGATTTGTCGCAGATGCAAACAGTGACAGATGGACTGATTTGAGCTCCCTGTCCTCTTTCTTTGTTGAAAACCACATTTCACCCAACCAGGAATCACAAAACCAATAAATCACTAGAAGTACAACACTCAACAGTTGTTTTGATCCACCTGTTTGGAAAAGCCAAGAATGAATTGCAGAGGGGTTCTGTTTGCATCTGCCTTCCTTTAAATTGATCCAGATTTTAATCTAATTAAATACAGTGTGTGGGTGAGAGAGAAAACTTACACCTCTGAAAGTAATTGCTGTAATTGATGCAGAGGATTATTTCTACATAACTAGCAGAATTGGAGAGAAACCTGTGAAAACCCCGTAGCCTGTTGCAAAAACAGCGGAGCTCTGAGCAGGGTGCTCCTCTGCTTTTTGCTGTGTCCAGCTGCTGCAGTACAGCTCAGAGGGCCAAACGGTGGGATAAATTCATGTTCGGAAGACAATCAAGCTACACCAGTATCCATGAGGGTGCCCCAAAAGTGTGCAAACATCTGGCTAAACAACCGTTCTCACAGAGCAGAAGCACGTTTTTATTTAGGAGTACACTGTTTATAGTTAGGGAAGCAGGTAAGGGGCAACACAGAGGTATTTTCACTCTCCCTTCTCAAAGCTGACCTGTACTGTAAATGTTACTGTCAACAGGAACTCATACGCATAGAGAAGTGCTTCGTGTCACCCCTAATGAGAGCGCTGAAAAGGATTTGCTTCATGTCGTGTTATATAGGTTCATATTTCATAAAGAGGAATAGGTTGCACTCAGTTTGGCTCTGCTTTTAATATAATACAACCCTGCCCATGCAAAGGATCGGTTGGTGTATGTGCCTTGTTTTCTTGTTTCTCTCACTGATCTGCGTGAGGATCTGCTTTCTTAATTAGGAAGATTTTCCCTTTGCAAGTATAAAAGAATTAACGTTTCCCCTGTAAGTAGCAGCTAGGTCGGTAGGGTGTAGGTAACTTGTTGCATCTGGAAGGCTGTGCTCCTCTTGCAAGGCCCCAAAATTACTTTGCTACATGTATTCATTTGAAATTAAACAAAAAACTGAGGTTACACGAGCTTGTGACTCAAGACCCAGAATCTGAGTCCTGTCCCAAGCCTGACCCTTGTGTCTCTTCCAACTCACTAGTTTTGGTTGGCCACCTGTAAGGGAGTGCTGGATGCTAAATATACTCCCAGGGTACTATAACCATCAGCTCCCTGCGTTTCACAACTGCTGATCGTGACAAAATGCCTTCTGCTTTTGTGCCCAGATCAACTCCTCATCAGATCAAAAAGCCTGCAGGGTTTGCCGTTGCTGCTTAAGAAGACATCAGCTTTGTTCATTAAGAGGTTCCACCATACCCGGCGGGATGTCAGAGGCTTCATTGCTCAGGTCATCCTCCCGGTCCTCTTTGTGATGGCTGCGATGGGGCTTGGGACACTGAGGACTAAGGAGACCGACTATCCCGAACTGCTTCTTTCCCCTTCTCTGTACGGCACATCCGACCAGGCAGACTTCTTCGGGTGAGTGGTGTTCTCGGGGACCCCTTCAGCCCATTCGTTTATGAAGACCCGGGATTATTTCTAAGCAGACCCAGTGGAGGAGTGTTACGCAGACGATATGTAGCTGCGTTTTCTGTGTAGTCGTTAGGCAGAGCAAATCCCTGGGGTGGGTGTGCGGCTCTAAGCGATAAGCAGCCTTTTGAACCCGTGTGACTGCCCTCTTGCACTGCATGTACTTAAGCAGTTTGCAGGGCTAGCACCACAAATAACCCTTTATTTAGCAACTTAAATGAACCCTGTTTCGTTCAGACACAGTTTTCCTCTGCTCAGTGGTAGTGGAAGTACATTGAATGTTTTTCTTTTCTTTTTCTTTGTTAAATCTTAGGAATTTTAATGAAACCACAAATGCTTTAGTGGCTTCAATGCTTGCTTTCCCTGGAACGGATAACACATGCATGAATGAAAGCAATTTGTAAGTACTTGGGTTTCTTCCATTTAAATTCTGAATCTGCAAGAGAATTGACAGAACACTATTAGCCATAAGATCTTTATAACCATCTTTGATCATCTGCACAATTTTCTTACACTGATGTCACATCCAGTGAAAAAAAATCTCTCCTGCCTCTCTCCAGACTGACTTGCAGACCCTTTCAGCTCGTCAGGAGATGTCTGAGTGGCCTTTTGCGGGCAGGCGCAAGCCTGCGCTTCTCACAGCCTCGAGCTGGTGGGATGCAAGTCTGTTCTGAGCGGGGAGCTGTGGATTCATGGTTGGTGTGAAGCAGGCCTCAGCCCTGCCGCAAGCCTGCGTGGCTCCCACGTGGCTTGGAGCGATGGCTTGCGTCTGCCAGCACGAAACTGTGGGTGTTATTCAAGACAGAGCACTATTCTGTGCCTCAGAGACTCCACGCACTCCCACTGCTGTTCTTTCCTTGCCTCAAGAAGTATTCACTGCCACAAGTGGACTCCTTTATTACCATGAGTAGTAAGGGAGCAGCTTTGGCGGTGGCAGGATGCCAGAATGAGAGCGAGCTCTCCTTGTAGCAAGGAAGTAGTCCTTGCCTCCCAGTAATCCCACCCAGAGCCCACCCAGAAAGTTCTCAGTGTTGCTTTTCCTGTCTGTATCTAGAAGCTGTGCCATGAGGGCTAGGGTTTTTCTGAGGTCTGTAGATACGTTTTCAAGGAATCGGCAGTAAAATCCAGGGCAGACTTGCATGCTCACGCGTGCCTCATACCTGCAGGCAATATTTATACTGGGTATTTGCAGAGGCTGCCTCGGCAATACGGCCCGTCGCTCTTGCAATGACAACAGCCCTTATTTCTGCACCGTGAGATGAGGGAGTTAGGCCTTCACGTGCCTTCACGTGCTAACTCCTTACACTGTCTGCTGTGGGAATGAAGTGGTGTCTGGGTTCCTTCTAATCAGCTGAACGGATCCCCGTGCAGAAGGCAGCAGGGAGGACTCTCTGCCGAGAGGCACTGAAGGCAGGGGGAGGATGGGTGTTCCCTGAAGCCCCCAGAGCTGACAAGAAGCTCTA